GAAGTACTGGGTCGAATGAAACCCTTATGAAGAGGGTTCTTCAACTAATCCTTTAACTCCTTCAGCTCGATAGGAGCCATCTTGTACGTGGGAATATATATCGGTTGCGTGTCTCGTGGAACATCGATAGCAAACTCAATTTCCCTCTTCTGTGGGGTCCCCGAGAACACATTAGAAAATTCACTAACGACCAAAACTGACTGCAATGTGGAAGGCTTTGCCTTCGCATCATGCACTCGTACCAAATGGTAAAAACACCCTTTTAAGATAATCATTTGAGTCTTAAGGTATGAAATAAACTTCCTTTTTGGCGCTGCAATGTGGCCCTTCTTTTCGATAACAGGCTCTCCCGGAAAGTTGAAACAAACAACCTTCTTCCAACAGTCCACCATAGAATAAAAAGAGGCTAGCCAATCCAGGACCATAATAACATCAAATGCTATCATTTCTAACTCATTTAAATCAGCCAAGCTATGGCGATCATTAATCATCACATCATAACCTCGATACACTGAGCTAACCACCATGAATTTACGCATGGGCATGGACACTTCGAACGGTTGACATATCAATTTAGGTTTCTTACCCCTTTTACTAGCAACAATTGGAGAAATATACAAGAGATAGAACCTAGATCTATCAAAGCATACATATCCATGCATAACACGGGTAATATACCTGTGACCACATTTGGTGAAGACTCCAAACTCTAGCAACATGACAATGCATATATGCGATTCTTTTATTGCCTACCAGGGCTGGACATGGGCATTCCTCCTCTACCTCTATCGCTCCCCATCGGTGGTTGTATACCTTGCTCACGAGGATGTGTTGTCGATGAAGAAGCTACTACAGATCTTGTTGGATGTACCACGTGACCCATTTCTTACTGGGCAAAAACACATGATGTGATTGGGCTGACCACAAGAATAACATAAATCTAAGTCATGGAGGCATTGCCCAAAATGATTCTTACCACATCGGCCACAACATGGCATCGAGTATCTCATCCTGCTACTATCCCCACCATTCTATGAACTCTGCTCTCGGAAGTTCTGGCATTGATTGGAATAAGTCGCTTATTCTCGATACCGGCCATGTGACTGTGATGGCACGCTGGCTACCGAGCTTGGTGACTGTCGAGGAAATGAGGATCTAAACCCGCCTCGAAGCTCTCCCGTATCTCCCATGGATCAGGCCCCCTTAGATTGACCATGGTTGTGTTGTTGAGCATCTTGTTGTTACCTCTTGCGATCCTCCAAGTGGTGAGATCATCTTTTGTCTAGTTTAAAAATACAAGTTGGGCAGTAATTGTCACGACCCCAAAATACACCTAGTTGTGATGAAATCTAACCCAACCTGTTAGGTAAGCTTAACTACAGCCGACATAATTCTAATAAAAAAAATAAGGAATCACTAAGTGAAATAACTAAATTTCTATACAATAAGCCAATGATTGGTAGTATAAGTCATGAACTATTAAGACTTAGATTTACAAAGCTAGTATGAAATAAATACATATATTTGGAATGTACATAAACATAATTCAAATCTAAAACTACTAAGGACAAGTGGTAGCTATATTTGGAAAGCAGATACATCTTCATTGCCAGCTCTCGTTATCCATAACATTATAGCTCCAAGATCTGCACACAAGGTGCAGAAGTGTCGTATGAGTACAACAGACCTCATGTACTCAGCAAGTATCATAACTAACCCCGTCGAGGTAATAGAAGCAAGAATTATAAATGATACTCGCTAATTATCTGTACAGTTCATAATTTCAACAAGCACAAAGCAGTAATATAATCAAGTCATGAACCAAAGAAATAATCACATTGGTGCACACAAATATCTTAACATACTTTGCTCGGTCAAAAATTCAGCATATAAGGAAGATCTACAAATTCAGCATGTAAACAATTAAGGAAATTACAAGTAACGATGAAATGCAATAACCAAATGTCAATCTGTTGCGGTGCGCAACCTGATCCAAATAGAATCACAACACGGCTCCAAGTACCACATCAGAATCTCAATAACGGAACCAAAACACTGATCGGGTTTCTCAAATCTCACATCAATCATAACCCCGTCGGTTTCTCACAATCCACGTGTACACCATTAGTAAGAAACATGAGAGGGTGACCTTAGGGGGATGGATCCATAACCACACATTGTACGACGTATAACAACAATAACAATAACAACAATCCAGTATAATCCCACAAGTGGGGTCTGGGGAGTGTAGTTTGTACTCAGACCTTACCCCTACCCTGGGGTAGAGAGGCTGTTTCCGATAGACCCTCAGCTCCCTCCCTCCAAAAACTCCCTGCCTTGATATTAGGGTGACTCGAACTCACAACCTCTTGGTTGGAAGTGGAGGGTGCTCACCACTACAGCAACCTACAAATAATCATGATCCACCATGCATTATCACTGGCAAAATATCATAATTCCCTCGATGTGGTCACATGCTTAATATCACAATCCGCTCGGCGTGGTTACATGCTCGATATCACAATCCGCTCAGCGTGATCACAAGCTCAATATCAAAATTTGCCCGGTGTGGTCACATGCTCAATATCATAATCCGCCCAGTGTGGTCACATGTTCAATATCACAATCTACCCGGCGTGGTTAGAGGCTCAACTAGTGCCTCAACCAACTTCTGAACACCTCGAAACTAGCCAAAAACAACTTTAAAATATCAAATGATGCCAAAGAAAACAAACTCAAACGATAAAGGTTGAATCTTTAATCAAACACTCAAAGTTAACGCGAGCTTGCACCCCAAAACCTGACAATTTTACTCAAATCTGACTCTAAATCGATGTTCAAAACCCAATTTTTCTTTTAGATTCATCAATCAAATGCAATTATCAAAGATAGAATCATGTAAAATAATTAAATCCGAGTAAAAAATACTTACCCCTCCAAAATCACCCAAATCCACGCTCCCAAACGCAAAATACAATAAAAATAACTCAACCCTTAGTGTATAAAAATCTGCCAGTAATTTTCGTATTTCTCGACCAAATCACGCACTTGAACACCTGCATCTTCGAGCAAAAGCTTGCATTTCGAACTCAACTTACCTGACCAAATCGCATCTGCATAACAAACCCCTCATCTGCGACGACGGAGAAATGCAAAACTTCCGCAGAAGCGGACACTCACCTCAATCCTCAATCCCGTATCTACGAAAAGATATCCGCAGATGCGACCTTGCACATGTGAAAGCGAAAACCCTAACCATGCCACAACCTCACAGAATCTAATCAAACCTCACAGAAGTGAATCCGCATCGGTGCTCCAATATGCGTAGATGCGAAACACCAAAACCAGATCTGCCTAAAAACATGGAAATAATATGAAACTCATTCGAAACACACCCGAGGCCCCCGGAACCCCATCCAATCATGCCAACGAGTCTCAAAATATAACACAGACTAACTCGAGGCCTCAAATCATGCATAACAATGTCAAAACCACGAATCGCACATCAAATCGAGCTTAATGAAACTTCAGGAAACGTGGCCACCATGCTCTATTATCTTGCATGGATGACGACAACACCGTGGGTAAATTCTAAACTTACGCCGAATACATCTAAACAAGTCGAAATCACCTCAAATTTTGCACACAAGTTCCAAATGACATAACAAATTTTGCACACAACTCTCGAAATAATAATTTGAACAAGATAATATCAAAGTCAACTCTCGGTCAAACCTATGAACTTTCAAAACTTTCAAATTCTCAACTTTTGTCAATTAGAGTCAAAACCTTCTAGAAATATAAAATTGCAATGCTGGATATATGCTCAAGTTTAAAATCATCATCCGAATCTAACGGAACCATCAAAACTCTAATCCGAGGTTAAATATATAAAGTCAAACTTGGTCAACACTTCCAACTTAAAACTTCCTCGTTGAGTGTTATCCTTGCAGATCAATCCTGAACCACTCGAAAACTATAATTGATGATGCACGCAAGTCATAATACACCATATGAAATTTCTCATGACCTCAAACACCAAACTGAATACAAATGCTTAAAACGACATGTCAAATATTTTTAGTAATTCTTAGGACGAAATGGTTCTCCATAACCTTTTTGAATTTGAAAGCATTTTCAAAGATCTTTTGTATTTTATTCTCAGATATCTTGCATGTATAAACAAAGAGCGATAGATAGACTTACATAAAATTGAAGAAAAAATAAATAAGCGAGAAAACCAATATCTTGAAAATCTCATAAACACATGAGATACTTACAAAAAGATCAAGTTGTAGTGAGATATTCTTTATAATCAAATAAGTACTTCAAGAAGACCCTTTATCTAGCCCTCTAATCACATAAATAATCAGGAGAGAAAAAATTCAAGGGATAAATAGAATTGTACTCATAATTATTACTCCCTCCATTTCAATTTATGCGAACTTGTTTGACTCGGCACAATGTTTAAGAAAAAAATTAAGACTTTTGGAATTTATGGTCCTAAACAAGTCAAAAAGGGACTAGAGTGTTTGTGTGATTATAAAAACTTCTCATTAAGAGTAGAATTGTAAGTTAAGCTAAATTGTTTCCAAATTTTGAAATAGGTCATTCTTTTTTAAACGGATCAAAAAGAAAATATGTTCACATAAACTGGAACGAAGAGAGTGATAAAATATGTTTTTCTTAAAAATAATCATAAAACCAATTGATCAAAATTATATGGTTCTTTGAGTCAAATATTTCAGAACTACACCAAGCCAGATATATAGGATAATAACAATTCCCATTATAAAAGAACTAAATGAAAAGTGAATTCATCTGTAATTAATTAACTAAAAAAGGTGGATTCAATATTTAAAGATTATTAAGTCTAAAGACAAATGATAGTGCTAATTGCACTTTGATCTTTGATCTGTCGTTGCCTTTACAATTGTTTTGTTTTGCTTGGACTGTATTATATTAATCTATCTATATATAATTATAAAACAGGCCTTTAGACCACTGACGTGGCATCCGTCATTGAACAGGAATGATATTTATCTAATTTCTCAATTTTTTGAGCTTTTTCTTCTTTATTTTAGGATTCATCCATCCCGAAAAGGCGGAGCATTCACAATTTCCTGAGCCGTTTCAAACCAACACGTTTCAGAGCAAATTCCCCAAACCGTTTCAGACCAGCACGTTTCAGAGCAATTATTCCACCGCTTCAATTGCGATCACTTAAAGCAAAAAATGAAACAACAAGGCGGATTCAATTTCAATGGTGCTTTATTATTTCCATTACCTTCTTAATCCGCAACTACCAGTCCTTGATTTCCAATGAATCATATCTCAAGCTCGGATACACACCGATGATTACAAATCCCTTACTGTTCGACATGGGTAATTCTTTTCACTACCTAACCCTAATCCCCTCTTATTTTATTTCTTTAAAATTTTCTTGGTTATATACTTATGATAATTGAAACGCATGAATTGAATATTGTTTGTTACTCTTTTGGATTGTGCAGTATTGTGATTACATTCACTTCCAGCATCCAAGAAAATTTCTGGTTCTCTTAAATATTTCTCAATTAATGTAAAGATGAGGATAACGAGAGTTATTTTGCAGTATTGTGATTGCATTCACTTCCAGCATCCAAAAAAATTTCTGGTTTTCTCTTAAATATTTCTCAATTAATATAAAGATGAGGATAACGAGAGTTATTTTGCAGTATTGTGATTACATTCACTTCCAGCATCCAAGAAAATTTCTGGTTTTCTCTTAAATATTTCTCAATTAATGTAAGATGAGGATAACGAGAGCTATAGTAGTATGGTTGAGGAAACATAATCAAGCTATTGTGGGTTATTATAACTGAGTTTGTTTTGCAGATATCATTTGAATGGTAAAGGTTTTTCTGATATTATTGTTTGAGACACTTGTGGTGGTGCTAAAGAGCAGTTTCACTACAAATATTTCAATTATTAATGCAGGAGATGGTCCTAAAAAACATCCAGCTCAGGTTTGCACCTCACGTAATTAAAATAATTACTTTAATAGACCGTTACAGTTATCGGAGCGGCAAGCTAACCAACCATGGGAATTCTTTGAAACTTTTTTCTCCTTTGCTTCTTCTTCCTTTCCTTTTTGGCCTTCACATTGTTAGTCTGGAGAGTGAGATTTATATTAAGAAAAAAGAAGAGTGCAAAAAGAAAAACTGAGAATAGTGTTTGCAATTGGTATTTGCAGCATTTATAGGTTCTATAATTGTGCTGAAAGTACACTTAGTGTGAATAGTACTGATATAATAATTCAGTTTGTATGTAGTTTCATGTTCAACTAAGATGTCACTTTTACAAAATTTAGCACCTCTGGTTTCTCTTTTTATTGTTTTTAATTACATTGAGGGTAGTATAAAGACTGAAACTTGGTATTGTAGGCTTATCTTGATTTTTACTGGCTATTTGCTCTATGTTGATCAGTTTGTGTGTCATTGCTTCATCTGATGAATCAAATGTGCAATAGATATTGGACTATTAAGGTGGTCGTAGTAGTTGTTTCAAATTGGTATGTGTCTCCATCTCAAGGTCCAAATAAATCGGGAAGAAAGTAAGCTTTAAAAGAAAAGTGAGCAACTGCATTTTGATGGATGGATTATAGGAACCATATTTTCCGTCAATGAAAGTGACATTCTTTTTTTTTCTCTTTCTCCGTAAAAATAGCATTTCTTCTGCTCTATCTCTGTTTGTCATCCATCTTTTATTTCGCTTTAGCTAAATACGATTCTAAGAGGTTTTCTTAGTTGTTGTTAGGAAAAAGAATAAGAACGAAGAAAATGTTTAAACTTGTATTTTGTTGAGATGGATATTATTTTTGGTAATGTAAACACAATTACTGTTGAATTCGTCTTTAAATACATGAATTCTTATATACTTAAGTGGTCACGGATGCTTATTAATTGCTTCCATAATTAGGAAGTCAAGGCAACTGCAGAAACTAAATAATGGAGTTCTTATTTTATTTGATCCCTTTTTCTATTAGGTGCCAGGGTAGGGTGGTTTTAAGTTTATGAGGAATAAATAAGAATTATGATGCAAGTCAAGTTTTTTAAGTTTTGATCTTTTGGTATAGTTTGATCATTTATGGGCGATGCAATGGGTTGAAGGTGTTCCTTAACTTCTAATGTCCCTCAACTTAAGATATTTTCATGGAGTATAGAATAATTTAGTTTGGGTTTACTAGGAGGATAAAATATGAGAATTGATTTTCATGGTCTAGAAACAACTACTTCGCTAGCCAGTATAACAATTTTTGAATTTCCAACAGTAAGTTATTTCGACAAGAAGATCATTTATTAATTGATTGCTATAAATAAGTTTTATTGAAAGATTCCATGTTGCTTCCAATTGATGATTAACTTTTGGCATGATTTGCTTTAGAATTCTGATAGACTTTACTATTTTAATCCAGATGAAGCCTTTAGTGTTCTTTAAGGTGTTCTGAGTGAGGAGTGTACCGATGCCTCTACTCAGTTGTTATCACACTCTTTAGACAATAAAATTTGAGGAAAAAAAGATGTCCAGCCACAACCTTTTTGCACCTGCTATTGATTTGGACTGGTCTAACCTGCAAAGAAGATATTGATTAAGTCGTTGATTAGCTCCGATTTTGAGAGGCTGAACATCCATTTTGGAACGGAGAAGTTTATTTTTCAAGAATGGAGAAGTTTGCCCTTTATAGTTCATTAATAATGTTATTTTGTTATTCAAATTGTAAGTGTGTGTGTGTATATATATATATATATATATATATATGAGATCATTTCCTCTTTCTAATACAGTGGGATTACATAATCGAAAAAACATATATATTTTTTGTTTTGTAACTAGCAATTGAAGGTAAGAGAAACTTTTTGACTATTGTGCAATATGTATAATGCAAGTAAAAGAATAATGCAAACATGTTTTTTTAAGTAAGAGATCAAATCGTCGATGTAGCATAGTATCATTCTTCGAAATTGAATATGCGTTTTCTATATTGTTATTTTCTGAAACAGAGAGATTGGATTGTATGTTTATTTTCGCTTTTCCTGTATCCTTTATCTAGGTGAAAAGTTATCTCAATAAAAAAATATCATTCGAGAATTATACGAATTGAAAAAACAAAGAAGATTCTATGAGAGGAATTCTCTCTAACATTATGTGATGTGAATCTATATCTATATATTAATATAAAGCAGGGAATAGCAAAAGTGATGTGGCATATCTCAAATTCCAAGAGACCTATTTATCTTTTTTCTCATTTATTTGCAATTTTCTCCTTATTATTTATATAATATATAAAACTCAATTCAACTTCTGTTTGAAAAATCAGAAGTCACAACCGTTACTAAAAGTCACATACTTACAAACGATTCCCATTAATTAGGAATACCAAAAGCCACAACAGTTTTGTAACGGTGCATAATCTTTGTAACGATGCATACAAAGATCAGCTTCACTTTAAAGCATTGATCCAATCACAGAAACGCCGTACTCCAACAAAACAGAACAGATGTTATTTATATTATAGTAGTTGTTTCTCTTTTTCTCTCTTAATCTTTTTGTTTGAATTTAATATTGTCTTCCTCAGAATATGCTCACAATTTTCTTGGAACGTACTCAAGATATGCTTCATTTTTTCGTAGATTTGACTTATTTACCTTCCTTAGGAAAGATCAGAAAAGGAAAACGCTTCTGCAATGTAATTTTGTGTTCTTANAGATTGAACCTTTCAAGCTTTCAAAACTTATACAAATAGCTATAGCTAATAGTGTTGCTGGCATGTTGATATCTCTTTGTTCATATTATGTCTTTGTTCCAATTGACATAGTATGCCCTTTATGTCCTCATTCTCTTTTCGTAATATTGGCATAATATTGGACAAGTGAAATTTGAATCGGACAAAATATATAAATTCTATTTATAGGTAGATTAAATATTAGATTAAATTCGAAGATATTTTCTTAAACTAAGATTGCTCTTTTTTCTTTTTTTGTCAATTACTTAAATTTGCATGGGAATACAAACTATATTTGGATGAATTGAGCATAGCAAAATAATTTACAAAATACAAATAAGTTACTCCATGTTTCAGAGGTTTATGCTCTTTTCTTATTTTATAGTTGTTGCATGTTTTCCACTTCAGCCAATCACATTTTTGTAGATGAGTTTTTGCAAGTCTAGAAATTAATTTCCACTTCAACCAGTCACATTCAAAAGTTTTAGTTCACGAGACAGATGCAAATGGTTCCTATTTTGTCTTTTGTTTTTCATGACAAGAATGAAGTAAGAAGCTACTATGTCAATTATGAACTTCTCTGAGATACGAATGTTGAAAGAAGCAACTAAGCAAGTCATTACTTTGGATGAGAATAACAAAAGGATCTGCTTTAGTCCGCTTTGGGCGAGAATAGAAGCAATGGCAAAGCAATTTCTTGATCAATTTTTAGCTGATTAAGATTATGGTGTTTAGGTAGGAATTCTTCTCCTATTCATAATAGAATCGCTGAAGTTCACTTTGACTTCAGTTCAAGCCTTATAATTTAGATCCCTAAACTTGTATTTGCCTTCACATCATGCTGGATAGAAAGAGTTCAAAACACCACATATGTTATGTTTTAGGGATTAGTGATGATCAGCAACCAACAATAATCATTTACCTACTTTTACAATTTGAATAAAATAAGTTCAGGAATTGATGACACAGAGAATTATGAAGTTGATCGGAGTAAAAATACCTATTTGTACACAGATATACAAAGTTTTTGTCTCTTAAACCTCAATCAAATTTATTGTAATTTCATATCTTAAATATGCTATCTCATTTTATGACCGCGCGAAGCGCGGACAGGTTGACTAGTTAGTTGATAAATGTAAGAGATTTTTCAAAAGAACTTTTCAAGATACCCATGTGGAACTGAAAAAACATGGGTGGAACCAAAAAAAAAAAGAAATACAATGTAGTGAGACCGCATTATTCTTTGATTTAGCACTTATGTTATAATTTCTTCGAAAAAATACATAGAAATTAGATTAGACAGGCTATTTGACTTGTTTGTTAAGTTGTAATTAATTTCGTCAATGCTGAATAGATATTGTAATAAAGTCCAATTTCAACGTGCTTTTGAGAATGGCAAGTTATTTACATATTATAATTATATTCAAAATGTAGCTTGTGAATTTTTTCTACATTTTAAAAGTAAATATTTGAGATATTTAAGCTACAAAGCCAATTCATCCAAATTGTATGATTCTTTGAGGCAATTATAAGTACGTCTTGTCAGATATATAGAACAATAAATGTCCCCATTCCAAAGATTAATTAATTAAAAGAAAAGTTCATTCATCATTAATTAATTAACTTACAAAAAAGTACACTCAACCATTTAAAGCGTCATCTATTAAGTCGAAAGACAAACAATAGGACTAATACCGCTTTGATTAGTCGTTTAACTTTTCAGTTTTTTGAGTTCTAAATTCCCTTTTTCTTATTTAAGATTTTATGTAAATTATTTTTTTGATAATGGCTTGTCGGAATAGGTGGTTCGGATCCCGAGAGATTCAGAAGTATTTTGGAACACTTGAATTTGAACTAGAAGTCTAGAGTGACCAAAGTCAACATTTTAAGTAAATAAGTTTGAATTACGGTTTGAATGTTCCAATAAGTTCCTATGATGATTTTGGACTTGTACATATATTTGGTTTCTGTGAGGGGATCATTGAGATTCAAATGTATATTGTGAAAGTTTAAATTTGAAGAACTTGAGAAAGTTAATAAATTTAGTTTAAACATTGATTATTAGTTGTGATATTTCTGTACGTGTATTGATCCCTTGAACAAGTTCGTATAGATATTATAGGGACTTGTCGGGATAATTTAGAAACGTCCCGATAGACTTGGGGTGAGTTTCAAAGTAGTTTTAGAGCATATTTGAACAAAATGCAACAATAAATATATTGTGAGTTAAAGTATCGTGATCAAGAGGCATAGGGCCACGACTGCCAAAGTAAGCTTGGCCGGGGGAGTTTACTCATCGCGTTCGTATAATAATTCGATCGCTCATTTTGAGTACTAGTATCACGGTCCAAAATTTAATTAGTCGTGATTGTACCTAACCCAATTCGTCAGATAAGCCAATTAACAACTATCAAATTTAATGAGATTTATTAAGAAAAGAAATGATAATATAACTGTTTTTATACAAGAATTTTCCAAGGAGTGACAGTACAAATCATGAGCTTCTAAGATATAGTTTTTACAAATCTGGTTTATAATAAAATACAGAATCTGTTTGAAATATACATGAACAGATCTGAAATACTAAAGCTATCAAGATCAAGGGACAATTATGACTGGAACGCAAGTACATCTTTAGATCTAACTCCCGCCTTATACAACTACATCAGCATGTAATATTTGCATGAAAGGTGTAGAAGTGTAGTATGAGTACAACCGACCACATGTACTCAATAAGTAACAAACCTAACATTAGGTTGTAAGTAGTGACGAGTTGGGACTAGGGTCAGGGTCCAACTCCAATAACCAACAACATTTCATAACAATATGATAAAGATGAAACAAGAAATAATTCAGCTGATTCACAGTTACGAAAAATAGGCATACTTTTCAAGTATAACAATGATCTCACATCTTTCACCGAAAACCTCAAAAGTATAGGAATATGTTTGAAAATTGTGATTTTCCCAAAAAAACTTTCAACAATAAACAAGATGTTTTATTTTTCAGATAGCACGAGGAAAATACATCTCTATGCCTACATGTCAATATACATGTGAAATCATGAATGCCACCAAAACCGGATAACATGAGGAAATGAATCTCTATGTCTGCATCTCAAGAACGCATGTCAAATGCAATGCATCTCAATGATGAACTCATGTACTCACACTCTCAGAGTACTCAATCCTAGTGTCTCGTATTCTCACTCAACATGCTTAATACTGAGCGCATTCAGTTACTCAGTAGTGTACAATACCTGATGCGGCGTGCATCCCGATCCACATATAGCCATAAGGCATGTTGTGGCATTCAACCCGATGTACATATATATATATATATCCATAAGGCT